ACACACCTGGTTCTTATATCCTCATTAGTCCGTGTATAAGTGTTCCCTCTGCCCCCCTTGTCCTTGTGGGTGATTGTTTATTCGTGAGAGTAGTGTAGCTCGGTGGAGCTACTCGTACCTTGTTATTGTCTGGGTAGATATTTCCCCTGTGCCTGTTTTTGTTGGAACTACCGTTACCTTGTATTGCCTGGGTAGATTTTCCCCTGTGCCTGTTTCGTTTGTCGCTATCCAGCGCTATTTGTGTACGACGGAATAAACTCTGCATTCAGTGATTACCCTCCTGCGCCTGACTCCTTCTATCACACTCATCACAATGCATATGTCGTTGCAGGTCTGTGGAGATCTTCACAATTGCTGTAATAATCTGTGCTGCATCTCAAACGTCATTGAACACTTGTATCATTTACATTTTAGTCATTTAGCAGACGCTCTTATCCAGAGCGACTTACAGTTAGTGAGTGCATACATTTGCATACTGGCCCCCCGTGGGAAATTAACCCACAACCCTGGCGTTGCAAGCGCCATGCTCTACCAACTGAGCTACAGGGGACTAAAGTACATCATGTACTTTAATGTAATCTCAACTGCAATCCAGGTAATTTGGTTCTACTATGAGATGAAGGACAGTGATAAGTAACACATTAATTTAATCTGTTGTATAAATAAACAAAATATCTGACATTGTATTCCCATTTGAACTTTGATGTGCTTTTAAATGGTTGAAAGCACAGAGATAGACATTTGGGTGACAACTAAACCAAAAATCAGACATTGTTTTTTCATTGGAATTTGGTTGTGCCTGTAGATGGTTTAAAGCATAGTGATAACACATTGGTAATTCAAGTAACTTTTGGCTGTCTTTTTGAGTGAGTGAATATAGGTCGTAAAGTTTAAGGACTCTTGGAAGATTAGTCCAAATGAAGACTAAAAGAGATCCTAATAAATTCAAAATAAAATCTCATTGATCAACATCTCTACCAAATATTACCCAATTATCCACATTGAAATGATGTGGTGTGCCCAGTGGGTAATGTTTGAGCGATAGCATAGGCGTAGTAGGCCTAAGGTTTAGCAATAAATCAGTCCCTTTGTGTGGGGAGAAATGGCAGGAGCTCACATGCAAAATGGCAGGAGTCACATAGGCAAAAAAAAAAAAAAAGTAAGACATTTATTTAATGGATTAATCAATTTACAGTTTGAGCATGATGGTTTGTATCGTGTGATTGCATCTAAACATACTCTCTGAATCCATGATTGGTTTATTTCCCATCTTTAATCAACATACAGATTAATTAAAGAGATTCTCCGGTACTTTTGTGTACTTTTTAGCCAGTAGTTCTCAAAGTAGCACTCACGAGCCAAAAGTGGTCCCCGAAAATTGCGTACTACGTCACCTATGTGCAGTTATGTGCACCACGTCATTGCTCTCTGTCTCTTGCTCTGCTGTGTGTGCATGATGTGCCCCTTGCTAGCTGTCACTCAAATTGCGAGGTGCTGAAGCTCATTGGTTGAACTCGAATTGCTAGGGTGCTGGCCCACATGGGGGAAAATTTAGGGAAAATGGTGCAGCACAGCTTCCAGAAAAGGTAAGACAGTAATTGTATTTCCGGAGAATATCCTTAAGAAAGATTACGATTATTCTGTGATCCATCCATCCAAATGTATCTTCTAATTTATCGATATTATACAATAAAACACTGAAGATATGTGAGATAGACCTTAACACAAGGCAAGCTCTTTGTCATTAGAGCAGTGTGGATTGATTCATTTTTCTTTAACTATTTTGGCTATTAATTATTCACAATTGATTTGATCAAATGTGCTCAGGTTATATTGTGTCATCACTTATCTTCATCATCATTTATTATTATACAGTAGGCCTATCAGTAGGCAGATAATTTCTTCAAATTATACTAGATTTTTTAACACAGATATTCACTCTAGCCTCTTATGCCTTAGATGAACAGTAAAGCAGGGTAATTGACAGCCAGAAAAAAGCAACAACAATCAAGCTACACAAAGCTGTAAGCCTACCCACTGGGCACAGATATCAATTCAAAGTCTATTCCACTTTGGTTCAATGTAATTTAATTTAAATTATGTGGAAACAATGTTGATTCAACCAGTGTGTGCCCAGTGGGTATGGTGTGGAATACCGGTTCAGAACACTATTGTGTATAGAACTGCTTGGGGTGGAACTCTCTAGCTCAGAACACTCCACTGGAGGGCTCCAAGCTTATGGTTCCAAGGCAGGAACACAAGCATGGGGGGATAGAGAGAGAGCAAGTTGTTGTCAGAAGACTGGGAATCTCACCTCTGTCTATTGCTGAATAAACACAACCATTGGTTTATCCCATTTCCCTTGGATTCGACCTAATTAGGGTGAGTGTGATTAGAGTGACACAGCACCAAACATCAGCTTTTAATTACAGCCCAATATTTATCTGTCACAGTTTGGTGCCGGTTTCTAAATAATCTCATTTTATTTTTGACCTCACAGGTAATCCAGGCATGTACAGTGAGGGAAAAATGTATTTGATCCCCTGCTGATTTTGTACGTTTGCCCACTGACAAAGAAAAGATCAGTCTATAATTTTAATGGTAGGTTTATTTGAACAGTGAGAGACAGAATAACAACAACAAAATCCAGAAAAACGCATGTCAAAAATGTTATAAATGATTTGCATTTTAATGAGGGAAATAGGTATTTGACCAAAATCAGCAGGGGATCAAATACTTTTTTCCCTCACTGTAAATGGGAGAGGTAATTTATATGGTTATAGGGGTGAATGTTGCCCAAATTTAGACCTCTTATTAAATATTTCATTAATTAATAAGACGATGTCTAATCGCATTCCATAGGGAACACGTTCTGATAATTCAGAACACGTTCTGATAATTCACACTGAAATGACTGTTTAGCACCACGTGTTCCACGTCGGAAGATGCTGTATATCCATAGTTGGTAGACAGTTCTTATTAAAAAAGTCCTCACTTACATCACATACCCATTGCACACAATCAAACAAATTCACAATATTTACAATTCCAATGCAATAAAAACACAATATTTAAAAGCAATTTAAGAAAAGTAACTTACAAAACACGATCATGAAAACAAACACATTCCTCAGAAAAAAAAAAAAAAAAAAAGTTATCAACCAGCGGTCTAACTGCCCTAGCGGCACCAAAACGTTCAACTTTAGAGAGTTCTGAAGATCATTCCACAAGTAAGGAGCAAGAAAAAAAAACGCAGATCTACCTAACTCAGTGGCGAACGAAGGGATCTCCAGAGTTAGCCATCTCTGAGACAGGGTCTGGTAGCTCGTACATCTGTAGGTTGACAATGAAGTAAGGTATGGTGGAAGTTTGTGCAAGAGGGCTTTATAAACGGAAAAAAGTGCAATGCATCGATCTACGAGACTTCAAAGAGAGCCAACCTTCTTTCTGATACAGAAAGAAGTGATGTGTACTGAACCTGTCGCCCATAATAAAGTGCAGTGCGCTATGATAAACTGCGTCCAATGGTTTCAATACAGCGGCAGCCGCATTCAGATGATTTCACCGTAAACTATAACCGGTAATGTCTACGGAATTATTTGTTTTCTGCTATTTAACGAAAGGCATGCACTATTTATATAAAGGAAGCCCATTTCAATTAGTAACTTCTTAACTAACTCATCAATATGCTTTTTGAAATAGGTATAGCTTTTCGTCAATCTAGATACCCAGATATTTATAAGCGGTGACACGATTAATGTGGGCACCATCCAATTCTACATATATATAAATCATCAGATACATTTTTTAACTTTTTGGAAAATAAAATATAATTAGTTTTACCTGCATTAAGTACCATTTTCAGTTAAACAAAAGCTATCTGCAAAGCAAAAAAGGCACATTGTAATTCTGAAAGAGCCTTGTCAACAGAAGGGGAAACAGAATACACAACAGTATCTATGTCAAGTTGCGGTTGCAATACAAGTGGGGGTTACAATTTCTAACAGACAAACCAATATTGTTTATATAGATAGTAAAAAGAGCAGGTCCCAAAATCGACCCTTTGGGGGACACCTTTAGTAATATCAAGGAAACCTGTCTTAACACCATAGGAAGCAACACATTGTGTCCGGTCTTCAAACCAATTGCAGGCTGCCTGGCCCAGGACGATTTCAGAAAGTCTACAATTAATAATGAATGGTCAACAGAGTGGAAAGCCTATGAAAAGGGTAGCACAATGCTGCCTTTGTCCATGCAATACAGTGTCATTTATCACCAAAGAAGCAGCAGATATAGTGCTAAGACATTTTGAAGCTAGAAAATATCTAAGCTAATAGGCCTAGGCCACGTAAAAAATCCCAGCGACTTATTTGCGTCAATTAATATTAATCAATATAAACCAATGAAATTCCTGGTTAAAGATCCAATGACGAACCAGGTAACAAAGCATCTGAAAGAAAAGGTAAATACGTGGTCACATAAATTAAACACCTAACTTTATTATTTTGATACAAAATATTTTATTTCACAATATAAAAAGTCAACAGTGAACCCTACAGAGATTCAAAAGGCATCAAGTTAACAAGGTAGAGACCGAGAGAGAAAACGGTTTTGTATGTAGTGAATTAAAACCCTCATTCGCTTGCGTGCGTCATGACGCACCCCAGTGTGCGTTGCATATCCAATGAGACTACGGGTGGCTGCCCCACTGCAAATAAAGGGAGATAACGGGCTGCGAGTAGTGGCTGAAAACTTTTCATACTGAGATGTTAGAGCAATGACTTTTGCGTAACCTTAAAAACTGGGACTAGGCTCTTAGCATGATATAGGGTCCTTACGGGAAGAGGAATAAGGAAAGATTGCCACGGCTGGGTAGGGAAAAGAAAGCGGCGAATCCGTTGAAGTTTAGAAAGAGAGAAAGAGCGAGAGTGAGCAAGATTCCCGAAAGTTGAGAGCAATCCAGAAATACAGCGGCGGTGGCTAGTGTACCCATTTGAAAGATGAGCTTGATGTCTGCCATAGACACCAGTGCCTCCGTGTACCAGCCTGCGCAGCTACTGAATTGGGTCTATCTCTCTTTGCAAGACACCCACCAAACCAGCGCCTTTGACGCCTTTAGACCCGAACCCAACTCGTCCCACCCGGAGTTGAACTACTGCAAGACTCCCGCAGCGGACTTGAGCTCGTCTCTCAACTCCAACTATCTCAACAACTTTTTTCAGCTCCAGCGGAATGAGGTTCGAGACTGAACGTTCTGTCTGTAAATGTTTTCCTCTATTATGGATGTATATTACCGTTATATAATTGCCACGTTAAGTAAATAGCTTATTGACTATGATCTGTTTTTATTTGCATACATCCCATCGTATGTCGAACGCTGTTTTGCAAAATGTTTAAGGGTGTGCACATAACCGCCATGGATATTTCGAATATGGACAGAAAGACGTGCTCATCAACTTTTCAGACCTATTACGGCAATATCTGATTCGATCATATTCAAACAGAAATAACGTTTATTTAGTAACAGCCCTTAGTGCAACATGGAGAATTCAACATGCACAATTTTAGCAGAACTGGTTTTATATTGCGCACAATTCATACTAGACTATGGCATGTCATTGATGACTGCCAATACAGTAAACAAAACAAAAAAGTAGACTATTTATTAAATTAATGCAATAACCAGGGATGAACTTACCAGAAGCATCGGGTCTAGTTCTTGAAGTGTAAAGCACTGACTATAACTGTTTTAAACGCGCCAAAGCAAGCAGAATCACTCCAGCAAAGTTATCTGTGCCTTTCAATTGGGTGTTAAGATGTTGAGTTAACATTGAGAGAAGTGTCTGTCTTTGATTTAGGCGGCTTTAAAGGCAATTGTTTTGACTCAATGCTCAGTGCAGGCAACGCCAGACTCGAGCGTACCACACGTAGGAGCGTGATGCATCTGGGTCTGTGGTCTGCATGCTGATGTGCTCGAGAGGTCTTCGGGTTAAACGTTAGTAGCGCGCAGAAATGCCTATGCCTCATTGCAAGGGGTTGGTCAAAATGCTGTGTCTGTACATACAGTTGTATAGGTTAACCCACTTCTACCCTACAGGTTTGACTAGTTGTTTTACATTACATTACAATGATCTATTTCCCCCGACTTCTGCAAATAGATCAGATTGTGCAAACAAAAACAAGACTTGTTTAAACACTTTCTATATTTATGTCATCATGGATATTTACAGGCAAACATGCCATCAATGCAACTGATAGTCCAGACCATATGTGACTGCAAATGGCATCCTATTCTCGACAAAGTGCATTAGATCCCTATGTGCTCTGGTCAAATAGTACACTACATAGGGAATAGGGTGCAATTTGGGATGTACCCAGGTCTGAACAGCCTTATGGAGAGAGAGCATCTGGGCCTAATAGGTGATTGAACGTGTATTACAATGATCTCATGTGTTAAAGATTAAACTGACACTAGGTTTTAGAGAGAGAGAGAAAGAATGAGAGAGAGAGAGAGACTGTGTGTGTGTGTGTGTGTGTGTGTTTCTTTGTGTGTGTGTGTGAGAGAGAGAGAGAGAGAGAGAGAGAGAGAGAGAGAGAGAGAGAGAGAGAGAGAGAGAGAGAGAGAGAGAGAGAGAGAGAGAGCGTTTTACTTGAGAGAGAGCGTTTTACTTGATGGCCAAAAAGCTCAATTTTAGTCTCATCTGACCATAGTACATTCTTCCATATGTTTGGGGAGTCTCCCACATGCCTTTTGGCGAACACCAAACGTGTTTGCTTATTTCTTTCTTTAAGCAATGGCTTTTTTCTGGACACTCTTCCGTAAAGCCCAGTTCTGTGGAGTGTTAGGCATATCCCTTAATTTCATAACGGGGATAGCTATGTAGCCTTTGAAAAATATTATGATGGTAATCATAAAACATGTTTCTACCCAACCATTTTAATGCAAGTTAAGTACCTGTTGGATAAAAAACTAATGACAGGCCTGATGGAAACAGTGTAATTGTCGGTAAACTCTCCTAAATCTCGACAGAACAAAACATGCTAGACTGGTGGATAATTGGTTTGTCTGTCAAATAGATCATGCACAAATGGCAGTGGAAACACTTTTTTGTGCATTTGTTGCTAGAATAACCATCATGTACCCTTTGCACTGTATCTGCGAGCTGTTGGCTAGAGCACATGTGCCAAGACCAAAGTTGGGCACATTTGTGCCAAAACCACCAACAGAGTTAAAAATGGGTTGATGGAAACCTAGCTACCAACATAAAAAATACTACAGTTTACTATAGAATACTACAGTACTTACTATAGAATTCCGTAATAAACTGTAGTATACTGTAGAATACTATACTACACGTTGTAGTATCCCTCGATAATGTGTAGTACTTAGTATAGCATTTTGTAGTGTACTGTAGAATACTATAATACATAGTATAATATTATCCACAAAAAAACACTGTAGTAAATACTACAGGAATGTCAGCAAAAACACTACAGTACGCAAAACATGACATTATTTTAACTATAGTAAATACTACAGCATTTCATTTGCAAATACCCTGCCCATTCCCCTTCCCATATCCCAATATGCCACCAGTAAGTGAGAAACCTACATGCCAAGTATAGACCATATATTGTGTTCCCTACAGGTTATAGAAAATAGCAGAAGCTCTGAACTCTCCGTTCAGAACCCAGTCCTACCTACCTACAGGTTATGGAAAATGTGCTCTTTTAGTATTTCTTAAGGAGAAAGCCCCCCATTTCTATTTCAAAGATAATAAAACAAAAGCACTTTAGTTAATACTACGGTAATGTCCCCAAAAAGTAAATACTACAGTATACTACAGTCCGCAAAAACCCAACAGTAAATACTACAGTATACCGTACTACAGTCTGAAAAAACACTACAGTAAATACTACAGTATACTACAGTGCGCAAAAACACTACAGTAAATACTACAGTATACTACAGTCCGCAAAAACACTACAGTAAATACTACAGTATACTACTGTCTGCAAAAACACTACAGTAATTGCTATAGTATATACTACTCTTTTTTTACTACTGTATTTATACTATAGTCAACTGTAAATACTACAGTATACTACAGTAAAGTCAGCAAAAACATTACAGTGAATATTATAGTATTCCTGCCATTGTATACTTTTATATTTCTTAATGTCGGTATAGAGGCTTTTCAGCCATTTAACATAAATCAGGCCTCTTAAACATGGGTGTGGTTTTCATACATTAAAAACCATTGTGTAATGTCATACGATCCTACGATTCCCCATTGAGTAATGTGTTGCAAAAACTGAACACACAAACACCCACACACACGCCTATGCATGCACGTGTGTGCACACATGCACACATGATGCATACACACACATGCAATCACGATGCACACACACTTGCGTGCGTGCGCACACACACACACACACACACACACACACACACACACACACAAAGAGAGTCTGGAAACAGTTGAAGCAGAGGGGGCTTTTTTTCTCAACCTCACTGCAACGCCAAGTACAACAACCCACTTCTGATGCTTGATCTGTTGGGATGAGTAATGTGCATTTGTTTTTGTTGTTGTTGTCGATGACGTCAAATTTTTTTTTTTTTTACCAGGTTTCCATCCAACCTTTTTAAAAGTACATGTCAGATCAAAAATGTCACGACAGGCCTGATGGAAACAGCTAATTTGTCGGTAAACTTTCCAAATGTTGACAAAACCAAATAAGCTAGACAAGGTGGGATCTTTTTGTGTCTGTAAAATGTATTATGCGAGAAATGTCGGTTGAAACACATTTAATGCGCAAATATTGATATAATAACCATCATATCGAAGTAAAGTTGGAGTCACGCGATGATATGGTGTGTGGACCTCCCACTACGACTCGGGAAAGCATACAGTTTATTAGACTACAGATTAAATAAATTATGATGAACTTCACAGGGTGGTGAAAGTGCACAGTGATTGATGCTCCTTTCCAATAAATATCAAGGTTCTTATTTTGGTGAAATGATGATCAATGCTCTGATCCAGAGTAATTAGGGTAAAGTCTTGCTCAAGGGCACATCAACTTTTTTTCACCTAGTTGGCCCAGGGATTTGAACCAGCAACCTTTCGGTTACTGGCCCAAATGCTCTTAACCGCTTGGCTACGTGCCACCCTATAACGCAAATCAATTTCTGACAAAACCATAAGTAGAGTTGAAAATGCGATGGAAACCCATTTAACTTGTTTTTTTTGTTCGGTACATGGGAATTTAACCGCAAATTGTATTTTTATGTCAGCAAGCAAAGCATTTTATCCGCAAAATGTCAATTTGATGGAAACACATCTCTGGTGGGAAAATGTGCATATTCTTTTCATGCAGATTTTAGAATATTTGCATGAAAATCTGTCACCAATTGGATAGAAACCTAGCTAGTGTCTCATCAAATGAAATAGGAAATAAATTAAAGGCCAAGTGCTGTCCAAATTCTGTTTATATCATATTGTACAACAGCTGATGAAACTAACACTGTAAAAGTGTGATTTTTTAATCAATGTTATTTCCTGATAGTTGCTGGTTGAAAATACAGGATATTCTAATCAGCAGGTTTGCATGGACGGGATATTTCGGCTTTCCATGGTGACATCACCATGCGGTAAATTGGTTAATAGACCACTCCTAAACAGTCATAGCTAAATTCTTGCTTGAGAAATAGTATTTTGCTAAAAAGCTACTTTTGCCCATTTTAATGGAAATCTATTAAAGCAAGATACTTAATTGTTACCCAGAAATTATTTGATATTGATATGAAAACGGCTGCATTGGGCCTTTAAGGGGTTATGATGTGAGGAGAATGAGTGGTTGTGAACAGAGTTGAGCAATATTTCTATTACAGGTATTTCAATACATATTTCAATTTATTTTGTTATATGCCACAGAGTGACAAGGAGTTGAATGTTGGCACAAAACAGGTCTGGATTCCAGGCTAAAGATTATGCTCCATATTGAATATTGCACAAGAGACAGTATTGCTCCTGATCTCCATGCTTGCAATCCTGTGGTAGAAGCTACTCTAATCACTTAACCTATTTGTATTGGAGAAATAGAGTATATCAATGGCTGTGTCCGAAATCGTTCTTGCCTACTATGAGCTCTGTTCAAAAGTAGTGCACTATATAAGGAATAGGATGCCATTTGGGACGCAACCTAACAGCAGTGTTTCCCTCCTCTGGGGTGTAACGGCTCACCCATGGAGCTGTGAATTCAGCCACTTACTCAGATGAGATGAGTAATGTGTCCCAAATGGCACCCTATTTCCTTTACAGAGACTTGCAAAAGTATTCATCCCCCTTGGCGTTTTTCCTATATTGTTGCATTACAACCTGTAATTTAAATGGATTTTTATTTGGATTTCATGTAATGGACATACACAAAATAGTCCAAATTGGTGAAGTGAAATGAAAAAAATTAAATAAAAAAAATAACGGAAAAGAGGTGCGTGCATATGCTATGAAGCCCCTAAATAAGATCTGGTGCAACCAATTACCTTCAGAAGTCACATAATTAGTTAAATAAAGTCCACCTGTGTGCAATCTAAGTGCCGCATGATCTCAGTATATCTACACCTGTTCTGAAAGTCCCCAGGGTCTGCAACACCACTAAGCAAGGGGCACCACTAAGCAAGGGGCACCACCAAGCAAGCGGCACCATGAAGACCAAGGAGCTCTCCAAACAGGTCAGGGACAAAGTTGTGGAGAAGTATAGGTTATAAAAAAATATCTGAAATTTTGAACATCCCATGGAGCACCATTAAATCCATTATTACAAAATGGAAAGAATATGGCACCACAACAAACCTGCCAAGAGAGGGCCGCCCACCAAAACACACGGACCAGGCAAGGAGGGCATTAATCAGAGAGGCAACAAAGAGACCAAAGATAACCCTGAAGGAGCTGCAAAGCTCCACAGCGGAGATTGGAGTATCTGTCCATAGGACCACTTTAAGCCGTACACTCCACAGAACTGGGCTTTACGGAAGAGTGGCCAGAAAAAAGCCATTGCTTAAAGAAAGAAATAAGCAAACACGTTTGGTGTTCGCCAAAAGGCATGTGGGAGACTCCCCAAACATATGGAAGAATGTACTATGGTCAGATGAGACTAAAATTGAGCTTTTTGGCCATCAAGTAAAACGCTCTCTCTCAAGTAAAACGCTCTCTCTCTCTCTCTCTCTCTCTCTCTCTCTCTCTCTCTCTCTCTCTCTCTCTCTCTCTCTCTCTCTCTCCTTGTTTACTGTAAGTCATCCTTCTCTAAAGTCCTGTCTTCCTTTGTGACATCCCCAGTACTTTTCCAGTTCATAAGCAACAGCTGGACGGAGCGCCAGATGTGCTGAATTTAATGAGAGAAATTATCAAGGATCTTTTTTCTGCGTAAGAGAAAAGACGGAGGGCATAGAACAGTCAACGGAAATTGGTGATTAAATTCAAGAGCATCGCAAATGAAAAAAAATCCAGACCTGCTTTTCTATGTGATATTGTTTCGTTAGTGGTATCATGTATCCATAGGTTGTCAAACTACTCTGTAAGCATGATAGAGGGGAGTTGCAGGTGCTCTTCGTAAAAATACCCATAAAGCTCGGTGCTCTGCCACAAAAGTAATGAGGGAATAAAAACAGGCGGCACTTCAAACTTTGCACTAAGTTACCACGAGAAAGACATCATCACCTCATTTTCATATCTTCCTTTATTCTACATTTCTTGCCATGTTTTTTCTCTGCGTAATATACCAACCACGTTTTCCTGTCTCTCCCTGTTCCAGGCATTGAATAACAGGGTATATAAGAATGTCTCGCCATATGACTCGCTCAACAACATCGTTGATGGACTCAATTCCTTGACGGACCACTTCTCCGACCTCTCCCTCTCCTCAGAGCCCCGCAAGCCCAGCAAAAGACCCCCGCCCAACTACCTGTGCCACCTCTGCTTCAACAAGGGCCACTACATCAAAGACTGCCCCCAGGTAGGACACAGACTGAGACAGTCCTTATTCATTCACATTTATGTTTGTTTGTTCATTCATTCATTCATTCATCCATCCATTTATTTTTTGGGGTTCTACCTCTAATTCTATTGGTTCAGTGTCTTTCGATTTCAAAATGCTAATGGCTGCCATCGAGAGCCAACATGGCGTCCTTTGAGTCATGTGACCATATTTCCAGCCAATCATGTCCCTTTTGAGTTGACCAATGGCTGTGCGGCGATGGCATCTGTGTGATGCCCTGACCTAAATGTCAGACAGACAGGCCTCTGTCCTCTGTGGTCATGAGTGTGTGTTAATTGCGCAGACGGATAGACTACTGAACTTCACTATGAGGTAGGAAGAGTAGGGTGAAGTTGGCCCCTAGTTGCTGATCTTATACTTTTCCCCTCTCGGTTTTCCAATATTTTTGTATTTTATGACGCAGGTCTCTCTGTGAGGAAAACGAGTGTAACCATGGCAAATTAGCAGCGAGTTCCAGCTGTGAAGTCCCATGGGTACCAGAGTGTGACCAATGGGGTCCAAGCTGAGCTCTCCTCTGTTTAACAGAATCAGTACTGGAGTGTATTTATTACAGAAACCGTTTACCGTTTAAGAACCAAACGGAAGCAAACAGAACAAAACGAGTTTCTATTGGACAAATTCAGGTAGGTCCCGCCCCGTTTCGTTCTGTTTGCTTCCGTTTAAGAAACGTTTTGCAACAGAATCGGCATAATGAATACTCCCAGGACTCTGCGGTACTGATGTTACTGATATACCCCTAGAAATAGAATGTGTGGAACAGGCTTGGAACATCTGACATTGGCAATTTGACTGGTAAACTCATTCCAGTTTTGTGGATCTACCCACCTATTGATTGGATGATGTACTGTATGTACAGTGCCTTGCAAAAGTATTCATCTCCCTTGGTATTTTTCCTATTTTGTTGCCTTACAACCTGGAATTAAAATTGATTTTTTTGGGGTTTGTATCATTTGATTTACACAACATGCCTACCACTTTGAAGATGCAAAATATTTTTTCTTGTGAAACAAACAAGAAATAAGACCAAAAAACAGAACTTGAGCGTGCATAACTATTCACCCCCCCAAAGTCAATACTTTGTAGAGCCACCTTTTGCAGCAATTACAGCTGCAAGTCTCTAGGGGTATGTCTCTATAAGCTTGGCACATCTAGCCGCTGTGATTTTGCAAAACTGCTCCAGCTCCTTCAAGTTGGATGGGTTCCGCTGGTGTACAGCAATCTTTAAGTCATACCACAGATTCTCAATTGGATTGAGGTCTGGGCTTTGACTAGGCCATTCCAAGACATTTAAATGTTTCCCCTTAAACCACTCGAGTGTTGCTTTAGCAGTATGCTTAGGGTCATTGTCCTGCTGGAAGGTGAACCTCCGTCCCAGTCTCAAATCTCTGGAAGACTGAAACAGGTTTCCCTCAAGAATTTCCCTGTATTTAGCACCATCCATCATTCCTTCAATTCTGACCAGTTTCCCAGTCCCTGCCGATGAAAAACATCCCCACAGCATGATGCTGCCACCACCATGCTTCACTGTGGGGATGGTGTTCTCAGGGTGATGAGAGGTGTTGGGTTTGCGCCAGACATAGCGTTTTCCTTGATGGCCAAAAAGCTCAATTTTAGTCTCATCTGACCATAGTACCTTCTTCCATATGTTTGGGGAGTCTCCCACATGGCTTTTGGCGAACACCGAACGTTTTTGCTTATTCTTTTCTTTAAGCAATGGCTTTTTTCTGGCCACTCTTCCGTAAAGGTCAGCTCTGTGGAGTGTACGGCTTAAAGTGGTCCTATGGACAGATACTCCAATCTCCGCTGTGGAGCTTTGCAGCTCCTTCAGGGTTATCTTTGGTCTCTTTGTTACCTCTCTGATTAATGCCCTCCTTGCCTGGTCCGTGAGTTTTGGTGGGCGGCCCTCTCTTGGCAGGTTTGTTGTGGTGCCATATTCTTAAAAAATTTTAATTGCTCCGTGGGATATTCAGAGTTTTTGATATTTTTTTATAACCCAACCCTGCTCTGTACTTCTCCACAACTTTGTCCCTGACCTGTTTGGAGAGCTCCTTGGTCTTCATGGTCCTGCTTGCTTGGTGGTGCCCCTTGCTTAATGGTGTTGCAGACTCTGGGGCCTTTCAGAACAGGTGTATATATACTGAGATCATATGACAGATCATGTGCACTTAGATTGCACACAGGTGGACTATATTTAACTAATTATGTGACTTCTGAAGGTAATTGGTTGCACCAGATCTTATTTAGGGGAAGCATAGGGGGTGAATACATATGCACGCACCACTTTTCCGTTATTTATTTTTTAGAATTCTTTGAAACAAGTAATTTTTTTCATTTCACACTATTTTGTGTATGTCCATTACATGAAATCCCAAAAAAATCAATTTAAATTACAGGTTGTAATGCAACAAAATAGGAAAAACGCCAAGGGGGATGCATACTTTTGCAAGGCACTGTATGTATGGGAGACATCAAATTATGTTTTTTAGTATCCAAAACGATCACAATATATGATAGCCTACTTCTAGTAATGATAAATGTGTAAATGCACCCTAAAATACAGTATAAATAATTGTACATAGATATGATGTAAGCATTACAATATTGACATCATGCCATATTATGCACACTATGATGGCGTAACATGTCACAATAGTACAACTGAAATAGCATTCGGAAAAGCTAGTGATACTGAGATAGAGATTATGGACCACAAAATGACTACTGTGGTTTTCACATACAGGCACTTTGAGGAATGTTCTGTCTCCCTTTACGACGTCTTGTAAAAGCAAACTGCATGGACTGGGTTTAAAATATGAGATTTTGAAACAGGGACACACAATGACAGTTTTCTCTGAATTCTGGTGTGGAGCTGTTGTTGTTAGACAGGTCCATAGTGATGACAGATATTCTCTCTCTTTCACTCAGCTTCTCTCTTGCTCTTATTGTGTGTGTGTGTATATGTGTGTGTGCTTCCGTGTGTTTTGTAGAGCTTTCTAGTTGTTTAGATCTGACCAATCAACACTAATCCTTGTATTAGGAATGACTTAATGAATGACGTTGAAGTTTAAGTTTATTGTGTTGATGTTGTAAATCCGTGCTTAATAGTTATCACTGTGTATTTAAAGCATTGAACCAGTCAGTTGCAGGGCAGCAGTTGCAGGGCAGCAGTTGCAGGATAGTCAGTGGAAATGTTAAGTTTTTGTTTTATTACGACCAAACCCCCTCGACATTAGACTGCTATGAAACCAATCTGTCAGCAGGACAGCTAGCCTACAAGGGCGTAACTCAAATGTGTGTGTGTGCGTGTACGTGTGCATGTGCATGGGTGTAACTCAAATCACAGCGGTTCTGTCAGGGCTCCTCAACTGTTCGTTAAACTGCCAACGGATACACAGCAAACATCAGATCTCCAATGTGTGTGTGTGTGTGTGTGTTTCAACCACATCTACGTCCCAAATGGCACCCTATTCCCTTTTAGTGCACTACTTTTGCTCTTTGGGGACTATTCTGTTGGTTCCATTTTACCGGGTAAACTAGATCAAGCGCAGCTCAAGTATTTACAATTATTTGAGGAGGGCTTTATTTAACATGTAGCTTGCACTTTGGGGACTACTCCATTGGTTCCATTGTACCGAGTGAACTAAATCATAATTTGATCAACCAAATCAAATGATATGTCTATGAATCAAGCATAGCTCAAGTATTTCAAATCAAATCAAATTGTATTTTTCACATGCGCCGAATACAACAGGTGTAGACTTTACCTTGAAATGCTTGCTTACGAGCCCTTTCCAACTACAGTGGGGAGAACAAGTATTTGATACACTGCCGATTTTGCAGGTTTTCCTACTTACAAAGCATGTAGAGGTCTGTAATTTTTATCATAGGTACACTTCAACTCTGAAAAATCCAGAAAATCACATTGTATGATTTTTAAGTAATTAATTTGCATTTTATTGCATGACATAAGTATTTGATCACCTACCAACCAGTAAGAATTCCGGCTCTCACAGACCTGTTAGTTTTTCTTTAAGAAGCCCTCCTGTTCTCCACTCATTACCTGTATTAACTGCACCTGTTTGAACTCGTTACCTGTATAAAAGACACATGTCCACACACTCAATCAAACAGACTCCAACCTCTCCACAATGGCCAAGACCAGAGAGCTGTGTAAGGACATCAGGGATAAAATTGTAGACCTGCACAAGGCTGGGATGGGCTACAGGACAATAGGCAAGCAGCTTGGTGAGAAGGCAACAACTGTTGGCGCAATTATTAGAAAATGGAAGAAGTTCAAGATGACGGTCAATCACCCTCGGTCTGGGGCTCCATGCAAGATCTCACCTCGTGGGGCATCAATGATCATGAGGAAGGTGAGGGATCAGCCCAGAACTACATGGCAGGACCTGGTCAATGACCTGAAGAGAGCTGGGACCACAGTCTCAAAGAAAACCATTAGTAACACACTACGCCGTCATGGATTAAAATCCTGCAGCGCACGCAAGGTCCCCCTGCTCAAGCCAGCGCATGTCCAGGCCCGTATGAAGTTTGCCAATGACCATCTGGATGATCCAGAGGAGGAATGGGAGAAGGTCATGTGGTCTGATGAGACAAAAATAGAGCTTTTTGGTCTAAACTCCACTCGCCGTGTTTGGAGGAAGAAGAAGGATGAGTACAACCCCAAGAACACCATCCCAACCGTGAAGCATGGAGGTGGAAACATCATTCTTTGGGGATGCTTTTCTGCAAAGGGGACAGGACGACTGCACCGTATTGAGGGGAGGATGGATGGGGCCATGTATCGCGAGATCTTGGCCAACAACCTCCTTCCCTCAGTAAAAGCATTGAAGATGGGTCGTGGCTGGGTCTTCCAGCATGACAACGACCCGAAACACACAGCCAGGGCAACCAAGGAGTGGCTCCGTAAGAAGTATCTCAAGGTCCTGGAGTGGCCTAGCCAGTCTCCAGACCTGAACCCAATAGAAAATCTTTGGAGGGAGCTGAAAGTCCGTATTGCCCAGCGACAGCCCCGAAACCTGAAGGATCTGGAGAAGATCTGTATGGAGGAGTGGGCCAAAATCCCTGCTGCAGTGTGTGCAAACCTGGTCAAGACCTACAGGAAACGTATGATCTCTGTAATTGCAAACAAAGGTTTCTGTACCAAATATTAAGTTCTGCTTTTCTGATGTATCAAAGACTTATGTCATGCAATAAAATGCAAATGAATTGTCACGATCGTTCATAGACGGGACGGACCAAGGCGCAGCGTGATATGCATACATGTTTATTTATATTGAATAAACACCACGACAAAAC